ATACTCTTATAATTGCTATTACTCTGTGTATACCATGCATATCTACATATTTTCCCCAACCATCCTGTGGTGTTGGGTCCTCGTTTTGAAGAGACGGTGCCCCGCGTCTCCTCCCGCTGCCCCCTCCTCCTCCCCCTCCTCCCTCCTCCCTGCGTTTCACCCACGCAGTACAGCGTTTCGTGGCCCCATAGGGAGCTCCACCGAATGCCCCAGTGGCAGGGTTCGCATGGCGGCCCCGCGTTTTGGCGCTCCCCTCACACGGTTCGTAGCCCCATAGGGAGCTCCACCGAAAGGCCCCGGTGGCAGGGTTCGCATGGCGGCCCCGCACCATTTTGGCGCACCCCTCACACGGTTCGTGGCCCCATAGGGGGTTCCACCGAACGCCCCAGTGGCAGGGTTCGCATGGCGGCCCCGCGCCATTTTGGCGCACCCCTCACGGTTCGTGGCCCCATAGGGAGCTCCACCGAAGGCCCCAGAGGCAGGGTTCGCATGGCGGCCCCGCGCCAGTTTGGTGCACCCCTCACACGGTTCGTGGCCCCATAGGGAGCTCCACCGAAAGGCCCCAGTGGCAGGGTTCGCATGGCGGCCCCGCGCCATTTTGGCGCACCCCTCGCACGGTTCTTGGCCCCATAGGGGGCTCCACCGAAGGCCCCAGAGGCAGGGTTCGCATGGCGGCCCCGCGCCAGTTTGGTGCACCCCTCACACGGGTCGTGGCCCCATAGGGAGCTCCACCGAAGGCCCCCGTGGCAGGGTTCGCATGGCGGCCCCGCACCATTTTGGCGCACCCCTCACACGGTTCGTGGCCCCATAGGAGCTCCACCGAAGGCCCCAGTGGCAGGGTTCGTACGGCGGCCCCGCGCCAGTTTGGTGCACCCCTCACACGGTTCGTGGCCCCATAGGGAGCTCCACCGAAGGCCCCAGTGGCAGGGTTGGCATGGCGGCCCCGCGCCATTTTGGCGCACCCCTCGCACGGTTTGTGGCCCCATAGGGGGCTTCACCGAAGGCCCCAGAGGCAGGGTTCGCATGGCGGCCCCGCGCCAGTTTGGTGCATCCCTCACACGGTTCGTGGCCCCATAGGGAGTTCCACCGAAAGCCCCAGTGGCAGGGTTCGCATGGCGGCCCCGCACCATTTTGGGGCACCCCTCACACGGTTCGTGGCCCCATACGGAGTTCCACCGAACGCCCCAGTGGCAGGGTTCGCATGGCGGCCCCGCGCCAGTTTGGTGCACCCCTCACACGGTTCGTGGCCTCATAGGGAGCTCCACCGAAGGCCCCAGAGGCAGGGTTCGCATAGCGGCCCCGCACCATTTTGGCGCACCCCTCACGCGGTTCGTGGCCCCATAGGGAGCTCCACCGAAGGCCCCAGTGGCAGGGTTCGCATGGCGGCCCCGCGCCAGTTTGGTGCACCCCTCACACGGTTCGTGGCCCCATGAGAAATTCCCCTTGTTTCGTCCCACTTGCCCTGCGGTTTTCACACTTGCGTATGGTTGGGTCCTTCGCCTGGATAATTTTTTGCTGCAGCGGCCTTTACAAAACACATTCTTTTTGTGGCGACCTTACACCGGATTATACTTGTGGAGGATCTGCAGCGGCCTCCACACTTAGGATCTTTATGTAGCAGCCTGTACACAGGGATTCTTTGTGTGGCGGCGTTGCACACGAGTTACGTCTGGGAAGTCTGCAGTGGCAGCACCGTGAGCCCAGGAAAGCTAGGGAAAGCAAGAGAGACGGGACAAATCTTAAAAAGCTTGTGTTCTCAGATGGAATGCATGACAAAGCTAGGAACACCTGTGACTGTCGCTGTTTGTTATTGTGCAGATGGCCTGCAAGTGAAATCCTTGTGTAGCGGCCTTTACACAGGTATTCCTTGTGTGGCCTTTGACAAGGGGATTGGAATTGTGGGGGATCTGCAGTGGCCTCCACAATCAGAATCCTTTTTGTCGCAGCCTGTACACAGGAATTCTTTGTGTGGCGGCCTTACACAAGGGCTTTTACTGCTGGGGATCTGCAGTTGCGGCATCTTCAACCCAGGACAGCTAGATCGGAAACCAGGACAACGTAAACAAACAAGACAACACTTATGTTTTCACTTGTGACTGTTGCAATTTGTGATTGTAAAACACATGAAAACGCTGTGAATCACAGGTTTTCCTTGGTGATGTCTTATTTCCCAAGTGAAACCACATTATTCTTGCTGTTTTTAATGCTTGTCTGGTTTTCTGGTAAGCTTCCGCGGCCCCCAGGCGCTGCCTCTGGAAATCCGCACAATCAAAACCAACTTGTAAACGGATTACACATTGAATTTGATTGTGGGGTACTGTAGTGGCGGCGCGGTAAACCGCGGAAACTTACCAGGAACACACGAAAAACAAGAAACACATGAATCAATTTGTGTTTTCACATGGAACAATAGGACACTATTACCGAGGACAACCTGTGACTGTTGCCACTTGTAAGTGTAAAACAAACGACACCTCTCACGGTCACAGGTTTTCCTTGGTTTTGTCTTATTTCCCAAGTGCAACACATAGTTCTTACTGTTTTTAATGCTTTTCTGGTTTTCTTGGTGAGCTTCTGCGGCCCCGAGGCGCTGCTTCTGGAAATCCCACTAGCAAAATCAATGTGTAAATTGATTGCACGTTGATCTTGACTGTCGTTGTCTCTGGGAATTCCACAATCAAAATCAATTTGAAAATGGATTGCACACTGATTCTGATTATGAGGATTTATAATTCGAGTTTGATTTTGGGCTTTTCACATACATTCAATTCCGCTGTGGAAATCAAGAACAACACTTGGTTGTAATCGCTCAATCGGAGGGTCCTATCCCCCCTACTTTGGCACAGTCCTCGCACGTTTCGTGGCCCCATGGGGAGCTCCCCCTGAGGCCCCAGTGGTGGCGCTTGCATGCCGCCACCCTCTCACTGCGGCACACCCCTCCCGCGTTTCGTGGTCCCATATGGTCCAGTGGTTGCGCCCGCATGCCGCCACCACCCCACCTTGGCACACCCCTCACACGTCCCCTGGCCCCATAGGGAACTAGTCGTAGCGCCCCAGCGGTCGCACCCGCATGCCGCCGCCACGCCATTTTTGAGCGCACCCCTCACACGCTTCGTGCCCCCAGATGGACCTCCACTGCAGGTCCAGAGGTTGCGCCAGTATGCCGCCCTCCCCCCCTACTTTGGCACAGTCCTCACACGTTTCGTGGCCCCCCCATGGGGAGCTCCACCTGAGGCCCGAGTGGTTGCGCTTGCATGCCGCCACCCCCTTCACTGCGGCACAATCCTCACACGTTTCGTGGCCCCATATGGGCCTCCACTTCAGGTCCAGTGGTTGCGTCCGCATGCTGCCACCACCCCGCACATGTTTCGTAGCCCCATAGGAAACTCCACCCAAGGCCCCAGTGGTTGCGCCCGCATTCCGCCACCGCCACACTTTGACACACCCCTCATGTGACGTTGTATTTCATTGTAGCTAGTGTCCTCTCCTTGCGTTGTCTCTGGCGTCCGCTCCCCCCCCCGCTCGTGTGGGACCTATGTGCGCGCACCCTGGGCGAAGTCTCAGCTGGTCTTCGCACTCATGAGCGTTTCTCTTGTCCTCCTCCTCCGCCTCTCTTGTCCACACCGGGTTCACGATAATATGCTCATTTCCACCTCGGTGGTGGCGAGCCGCAGACCCGCCGGCGGAAACCGTGACAGGCGCGGTTCTTCCGTATGTTCTTTCCAGCGCTCGGCGTTAATAGTGTAAGGCAATCCGCATGCTCCGCCAGTGCTGTGAGGTCGTTTCGCTCAAGGCTCCTGTCCTGTGCCCCGCGCTGACCATACAGACGTGAGCATCGGCAGGTTCATCGTCGCGCCCTCTCCTTTCGCCTCCTCCTTCCCATCTCCAAAAGATGCGATGGAAAAAAAAAAAAAAAAAACTTTGACACACCCCTCACACGTTCCGGGGCCCCGCAGGGAGCTCAACCTAAGGCCCCAGTGGCAGGAATCGTAGCCTGACGGCGCCCATATTGGCACACCCCTCACACGTGGCCCTATAGGGAGCTCCACCTTTGACCCCACTGGCAGAAACCGCATGCGTGATCATGTCAGCACGCCCCTCGCACGTTTCGTGGCCCCGTACGGAGCTCCGCGGAAGGCCCCGTTGCCTGCTGGCACCCAGACCGCGTTATGCTGCTCCCCAGGACCTGGTCGACAGACGCTCAGATCAGATCAGGTGTAACCCGTTGCGCTGACCCCTGCGACCCCATCAGCAACGTCGCTCCGTCCTTCTCACGCGCGCCTTAGTCTTTTTGCTAGCACCCTCTCCCAGTTTCCACCTGTCTTGCGGCACTCGCAGCTCCAGCTGGTTTCTTCGCCAGGCTGAGTCGTTTATCAGGGAGGTGTCGGAACAACACGGGAGCTCGAGTGAGTTTGGCATGCGCGCGCGGGGGCGCGCGCATGTGGCCCACATAACTAGGCTTTATGTGATAGGGATATCCCATCCTATCCTCTCCTCTCCTCTCCTCTCCTCTCCTCTCCTCTCCTCTCCTCTCCTATCCTATCCTGTCCTGTCCTATCCTATCCTATCCTATCCTATCCCATCCTATCCTATCCTATCCTATCCTATCCTATCATATCCTATCCTATCCTATCCTATCCTATCCTATCCTATCCTCCCTCCTCCCTCCTCCCTCCTCCCCCGACACGCCAGCCAGCGCACGAGGCGGTCACGGGCGGCCACCCGGCGAAGCCCGGAACATTCCGCCAGGGCACGGAGCGGTCACGAGTCACGCGGCGGCCACGGGCTGGCACTGGGCGCAATTCCAGAATCGCGGGCGAATTCTTCGCAGGCGGGCAAGAACATTTTGTGCAAGCGCCGCTTGTGGAAACACAGCAGGAGTCGTCGTCCTCCTCCTCCTCCTCCTGCTCCTCCTGCTCCTCCTCCTCCTCCTCCTCCTCCTCCTCCTCCGCAGCCTTCTCGGCCTATGCGGCGCAGATGCCGGGCCTGATAGCCGCCAGGCCAGCTGCCATGGGTGCCGGGGTGGCGGGGCTGACCGCGGCACCCGCGTCCGCGGCGCCGCTCGCCGCCGCCGCCGCAGCGCGCGCCGCGCGCCCCGCGCGCGCCCAGGCGGCGCTGGCGGGCGGCGCCCGGCTGCGCCGCCGCGGCGGCCCGAGGCCGCCTGGCCGCCTGGCAGCCGCGGCCTCTGGCGCGGCGGCTGCGCTCGGGGCTGCCGCGGGCCGCCGAGGAGGCGCCTCGGCGCGACGGGCGTTAGCGCGGGCTGCCCGGCGCGCCTCTGGCGTGGCCGCGGCGCCGCCGTCGGCGGCCGCAGAGGCGCTTCCGATCCTCCTGGGTTGCGAAGGGCGCCAACTCTGGCCCGTCCGAGCCAGGGCCCAGGATGGGCCTGACCAGGATCGGTGTAGGTGTACAGTGGAGGGACATGCCAAGAATCACCCTGCTTGCCTCCAGGGTGCCCTGGGTTTCGTGGGTTTCGATGGTTTGGCGGTGGAAGGCGTGCCGTCTGGGGGTGTTGCGGTGGAAGGCGTGACGTCCCCACACCAAAAAAGGATTGACGTTCTGGGGTCTCAGGGTTGTGTTTCTTGTGGAAGGTTTCTTGTGGACTGGCCTCCACTGTATGGTCGGCGCTCTCCCAGGGGTCTGCCGAGCGGAGGTGCGGGGCGGCAGCCCCGCGTCGGGTCGGTTAGTTGCGGGGCTAGGGGGGTGCCTTCTGTGGCCGAGGGGCGAGCGTGGCTCGAATAGTCTGGTGCCAGCATATCCTTCTCTCATGGTGCCAACTTCGCAGAGCGGAGTTCGTTTGGAAAACTATGGGATGAGCCCGGATTGTCCTGGAGAATATCTTTCGGGATTTCGACGTGAAGGTCGTGCGGATTTTCTTTGGCCAGGAATAAAGAATACAACACATCCATGTGAAATTAACTCCGTTTTTCGCTCGAGGCTTCGGGGTCTTGCGCTGACAAGGATCCACACGAACCGCCGCTGCAGCACGTCTGCAAAGTCGGTGCAGTGACTTCTCTGCCGCCTCACTTCCTCACTCGTCGTTCCTCCCTCGTCTCTCTTCCTCTGTCTATGATACGATTCCTCCTCCTCCTCCAACTTCTCCTCCTCCTCCTCCTCCTCCTCCTCCTCCTCTTCCTCCTCCTCCCCCTTCCCCTCCTCCCTCTCCTCCTCCTCGTTCTCCTCCTCCTCTTCCTCCTCCTTCTCCCTCCCTCCCCTTTCTCCCGGTCTCCCTCACCGTCCTCCCCCTGGCCCATCCTGCTCCCCTCCTCCCCCTTCGCAAGCCAAGCCCCTCCCTCACTGAGGCGAAGTTCTTGCAGGAGGTTTTGCGAGATAACAGGGAGCTCGTTGTGCTTCAGAAGACGAGCGTGGAGACGCTCCTGAAGCTCGCTGAGGGCATGGTGGCCGTGTCGGTCCCAGCTGGCGACGTTGTCGTGGTGCAGAACTCCGAGACGGACAGCATGTTCGTGGTGCGAGATGGGCAGGTCAGCCTCGAGCGCACGGTCGCTGGCAGCACGGTGCCCCTGGTGCGGGCCGGGAAGAGGTCGGAGGGCGCAAGTTGCACCAAGCATAGGTAGTCTCAGGCCGCCTCGCACGTCCGCGGGCAGCAGATCTGTGCCGGCGCCAGGCCCCTCACCCCCGCACCCGTCCCTGGCGCGCGCCGAGGGCTCCTCCTCGGCGAGCAGGGCAGCGCGGAGGTCGCTGGCTACGGGCGTGGGGAGAGGGATGTCCGGCGCCAGCGGAGCTCGGCCTTCCATGAGCGTCCTGGGTCGTGTGGACTTCTGGCCTCCCGGGAGGGGCGACAGCTTTGGGGCCGCGACGCTGCTCGGGAATACCCCGCACAAGTTCACTGTCGTGGCGAAGACGGACTGCACTCTCTTTCGGCTTGACCGGGCTGTGTTCGACTCCATCGTTCTCGCCGAGGAGCAGGAGGAGTTCAGCGACGACGACGACGACAGCGACAGCGGCGACGAGGAAGACGAGGGCACTGATGAGGACCAGGTGTGCACCACCAAGGACTTGCGCGAGATCTACGTCGTGTCAGACAGCACTGGGGAGTCGGCCAGCGCGTCTGTCCGCACGGCTATGCGGCAGTTCGACTACTGCTACGGGGGCACCTGCGGCACCAGCCGCACCACCGTCTACCGCTTTGTGCAGTCCGCCTCCGAGGCCCAGGAGATCGCACGCCTGGCGGCCGAAAGAGACGCGCTGCTCGTCTATACCGTGATGAACCAAGGGGTGCGGGAGGCGCTGGAGGGCGCCTGCCACGAGCACTCGGTGGAATCGGTAGACCTCTGGGGACAGCTGCTGAAGGCGTTGGAAGCTAAGTTCGGGGCGAAACGCAGTGGTGTCTTTGGCCGGCGCCAGAGTGTGACGGATGAGTACATGCGGATCGTCAAGGCGATCGAGTACACGCGCAAGGTGGACGACGGCGTGCTGCCGCACCTGTGGGACGAGTGCGAGATCATGCTGATCGGCCCCTCCCGTGCAGGCAAGACGCCGCTGGCGTTCTATCTGGCCCAGCGTGGCTTCAAGGTGGCGAATTACCCGCTGGTGATGGGCGAGGACTCCTCCGTCCGTCTGTCCGTTCCTTCCTTTGTCCTCTCTCCTTCCTCCCTCCTCCCTGCAACCCTCTTTCCTCCAGCAGCCTCCCTGCCACCGTCTTTCCTCCTCCTCCTCCTCCTCCTGCTCCACCTCCTTCTTCCCGTCCTCATCCTCTTCCCCATCCTTCTCTTTCTCTCTCCTCCCTGCTCACTCCTCCTCCCGAGGAACCGCCGAAAGAGCTCTTCACCATCGACCAGAGCAAGTGCTTTGCGCTGAGCATCAAGCCAGAGAAGCTCCAGGCCATCCGCGTCGAGCGGATGAAACAGTTCAAGAGTCGCAGGTCGCAGGCTTACGACAGTATCTCCGAGATCAAGAAGGAGATCAACTGGATGAAGACGTTCTACCTCCAGAAGGGTAGTGGCTGGCCGATCATTGACACCACGGAGAGCGGTATCGAGGAGACGGCCTCGCGCATCATGCAGATCCTCGACCGGCGAAAAGGGAGCCCATGGGTCCAACAATGTGCACAGCCAGTGCTTTCTTTCTTCTCCTCTCATCGATCTCCTGGTTCCTTTTTCCTGTCCTCTTCAGTCCCTGTCTCCAGTAAGTACCCCCCTCCTGTCGGCCCACCAGACGTGCCCTTAGGCCAGGCAAGGCGTTTTGCTCGAGGCCTGCTCACATTTTACTGTCTGGACACAGCCCGCAGTTACAATCATGAATGGCATGTGACTTTCAACATGCGGCTCTCGCCTCAGCGCAGCGCACATTCGTTTCACAACTTTAAAACAGATGCGAGGATGGAGGGCAAGTCGTTTTCAGATGGGGCTTTCGCCTTGGCACCACCCACGTACATTTTGAACATCCAGCGTGTCGCAACGACGAAGAAGCGGTTGTTTTCAAGGTGCAGCTATCGCCTCAGCGACGCGCTTTCCGTTCTAGGATTTCTCGAACAGTTGCAAGTGTGGAGGCCAGGTCGTTTTCAAGATGCGGATCTCGCCTGAGACTTCCTCATTTCGTGTGGCCCGACATTTTCAATTTGTGCAAGTGTTAGGTGTCTGTACGGTGACTCCTTTTCAACATGAGCCTCTCGCTGGAGGCACTTGTAGCCTCCAGCTTTGCATTTTGGGCAACGCTTGCACGGATAAAGGGCAGACCCGGTCCAACATGCCGCGGGGGCTATCGCTGGATGGTTCCTCGGCTGGCGCCTCGCCCTCCTCCTCCTCCTCCTCTTCCTCCTCCTCCTCGTCCTCCTCTTCCTCCTCCTCCTCCTCCTCGTCGTCCTCCTCCTCCTCCTCCTCCTCCTCCTCCTCCTCCACGGGTCTCCGCTGGCTGGAAGGATGGGCAGTTTGCACGTTACCGAGAAGTGGGTGTCGCCCGAGTGGCAGGCTCTAGGGGCCCTCGTCACTCGCATGGGGATGCTCCCCGCGCTGCCAGGACACACCTCTGCGGGCTCTCGAGGACGTGGCCTCGGACGGGAGGGTGTATGTGTTGCAGCATCGTTTTTGCGCGTCCAGGGTCTTTCCTGGGCCGCCCGTCCTCGTCCAGTGCTCTCCTTCTCTGGACGCCCTCGGCATCCCTCTCCCTCCTCCCCGTTCCCCCCCTCCTCGCAGGACGACGGGGTCGAGAAGGACGAGGAAACGAGGAGGAGGAGGAGGAGGAGGAGGCCGGGTAAGGGGGGAGACGGGGAGTGAGGATGATGAGGAGGAGCCAGAGTATGATGAGGAGGAGGAAGGAAAGGAGGAGGGGGGGGAAGGAGAAGGAGGTCGGCCGGGAACCGATTGAATCGAGGTTCGTAACGAACGCGGTGGGCAGCACCTGCGAATCGGGGCGTCTCCAGAGGGTGGGCCTTTTCCCGTGGCTGAGCCCGCTGCTCTCGGGGGGGGGGCAAGTCTTGGCAGTTGTATATTCCGTCCCGCGAAGCGGACCGCCCAATCGCCAGCAACCACCCACGCAGAGAGAGAGGCAGGGGCGAGAACGAACAAGCCTTGCACCAGACGGTGCGCGAGCAGAGAGGAACATCAAGACGCCGACCTGCCTTTGGCAACGTGGCCAAGATATCACCGCGCGCTCCCAGAGGCAGATGTCGAGCGGAGGGACCGCGGGGGCCGATCCTCCAGTAGACGGCGGGCTCGGAGCCCTGCCCAGCTCCCGGCGGCGCGTGCGGGGGCCGTGCGCGCCTCGGCCTGGGAGCACGGTCCGAACCGCCGCGGCGACGCCGTCTCGACACCAGAGGATCGGAGCGGAGGTGCCCAAAGCGATTCGGGGAGGAGCCGGATCGATCGGATCGGGCGAGGAGGAGCCGGATTCGGGAGGGAAAGGGGGATCACGTACACCGGTCTCGCCAATAGAATCCCACCCCTCGTATTGTCATGCCCCCTTCGATGAATCCAGGCGGCGCTTGTCAGAGGGAGAACCAACAAATTGCAATGACAAGAAATGAATGCGTGGGCCCCGAACAGTACGTGATTGCGTCTTGGATGGGAGGTGCAAAGATCTAGGTGCCGCAGTTTTTTGATGGCAGCCTATGTGATGCAAGCAGTGTGGAGCAATCTACACATGCTGCAATTGATTTAGGCCACCCTCGCCCCAGAGACAGCGACGCAGTATAGAACTTGGGTACCGTAGTACCAGTCTTGTCGGTTGAAAGGCGTGGGCCGAACAATGAGATTTGCAGTAGCTGGGAGGAAGAAGGATGAAGGAGGGGGAGAGGTGGGGAGAAGCAGGAGGAGGGACGAACGAGGAGGGCAGATGGAACAGGGACAACCGGGAGGATACATGGCGGCGGGAGGAGGGAGCAGGGACGCAGCGGGGAGGAGGGATGGCGAAGGAGGGGTGTAGAAGGGCATCGGGGTGAGGGAGGACTGAGGAGGAACGCGGATGGAGGGAGGAGGGAGAACGATGAGGGATGACGGCGGGACACGAGGAGAAGGCGGATGAGGAGGAGGCAGAGGGGGGAGGAGGTGACATGTGAAGACATACTTCAGATTCGGAGGGTGGATGGAGGATGGGCCAGGGAGATTGATGAGGGAGCGTGGCGGGATGAGGGTCATGATTACGGTGACGTTGATGATGAGTGCGGCGACGCGCATTATGATGATGAGGATGATGAGGATGATGAGGATCATGATGATGCTAATGATGAGGATGATGAACAGTATGGCGTTGCTGATGATCATGATCACGATTGCGATGTCGATGATGATAATGATGATGATGATGATGATGATGATGATGATGGAGGATGGGCCAGGGAGATTGATGAGGGAGCGTGGCGGGATGAGGGTCATGATTACGGTGATGTTGATGATGAGTGCGGCGACGCGTATTATGATGATGAGGATGATGAGGATGATGAGGATGATGAGGATTATCATTATGATGATGAGGATGATGAACAGTATGGCGTTGCTGATGATCGTGATGACGTTTGCGATGTCGATGGTGATAGTGAGGATGATGTTGCTAAGACTGCTACTACTGATGATGATGGGGAGGAGGATTCGGAAGAGGAGGAATAAGGTGATGCTGATGCTGATGATGATGATGAGGATGGTGAAGACGACGATGATGATCATGATGATGACTATCATGATGACGATGCCAATAATGATAAATTTCGATGGTGGTTGTTGTGGCGGTGGTGACGACCACGATGATGATGACGATGATGATGCTGAGGACGACGACGACGTTGACGACGACAATGATGCTGATGGCGACGACGACGATGACGATGACGACGGTGATGATGATGATGATGCTGCTGAGGACGATGACGATGACGATGACGACGACAATGCTGATGACGATGATGGTGATGAACATGCTGATAATGATGATGCTGACGATGAGGATGAGGATGACGATGATGATGCTGATGATGATGGTGATGATGATGCAGCTGATGATAATACTGATGACGATGGCGATGACGATGCCGATGACGACGACAGTGATTATGATGCTGATGATGATGAATATTCTGATTTTAATGCTGACGGTGCTGATGTTGCTGATGCTGATGCTGATGATGGTGATGATGGTGCTGGAAGAGGATGATGCTGACAATGACGAAGTCGACGACGATGACGATGACGATTACGATTACGATGATGATGGTGATGATGATGATGATGACGATCATGCTTATGATGACGATGGCGATGACGATGACGATGATGATAATGATGATGATGCTGATTATGATGATGATGATGATGATGATGATGATGATGATGATAATGATGATGATGGTGGTTGTTATGATGCTGGTGGTGGTGATGATGATGATGATGGCGATGACGACGAGGATGACCGTGATGATGATGACGATGATGCTGATGATGCTGATTATGAGGCTGCTGATGATCATGATGCTGCTGATGATGGTGATGATGATGGTGATGATGATGGTGATGATGCTGCTGATGATGATGATGACGATCGTGATCATGGTGATGCTGCTGATGATGATGCTGCAGATGATGATGCTGATGTTGGTGATGATGGTGATGATGGACATGATGATGATGATGATGATGATGATGATGATGATGATGGTGGTGGTGATGATGATGATGATGATGGTGATTATGATGATGTTGATGGCGGTGATGATGACGGTGATGATGATGATGATGATGATGATGATGATGATGATGATGATGATGCTGACGATGACGATGACGATGATGATGATGATGATGATGATGATGATTATGATGGTTATGGTGAGAATGATGGTAGTGGTGATGATGATGATGCTGATGCTTTTGATGCTGATGATGATGACGATGATGATGATGATGATGATGATGATGATGATGATGATGATGATGCTGATGCTAATGAGGATGAGGATGAGGATGATGATGATGATGATGATGATGATGATGATGATGATGATGATGATGATGATGATGATGATGATGATGATGATGATGATGATGATGATGATGATGATGATGATGATGATGGTGGTGGTGGTGGTGGTGGTGGTGGTGGTGGTGATGATGATGATGATGATGATGATGATGGAAGATGATAAGGAGGATGATGATTATGATGAGGAAGAGGATGAGGATGAGGATGAGGATGAGGATGAGGATGAGGATGAGGAAGAGGAATACGATTCGGATGAGGAGGACAAGGATGGAGGAGGGCGCGCAGGAGGAGCAGCAGGAGGAGGGCGAAGAGAGGCGGGGAGGCGCCAGTTGCGAACGCCTTGGGGCCACGAAGGAACAGCGTAGACGCCTCCTACGTCTCGGCGCTGAATTCCTGAAGCCGTGCTCCGCCGCGGGTCGCTAGCGCGCCGGGGCCGACGCTCCTGCCACCGCTCGGGCGCAAAATTCCGCTGCCGCCGCTCCCGCCGCTTGCTGCCCGCCCCCGCCGCCTCTGCTCTCGCTCCGCCGCCGCTGCCGTCGTGGGCCGCTGCCCACGGGCGCCCCCCCGCCCTTCCCCCGCAGAGGCCGGCGCGCGGCATGGCCGACGGCCCCCCACGGGCAGGCGAGGCCCGCGAGGAGGCCCCCGGGAGCCACCCCGCGTGGCCGGGGGGGGGGCGGGCTCTGAGGGTCAGGCTCGTGCCGCGGGAGGTGCGGTGGGTTCGTGCAGGGAGGAGGTGGGGAGGGGGGAGGGGGAGCAGTGGAGGGGAGGCGTCCATCGCCAGAATGGTTCCCCATCCACCGCTTCGGAGTCGTGCCCCGAGATCCCCGAGTCCTCGGGACACGACCCAGCGGCAGAGGACATGGCCACATTCTGGCGGCGCAGAGCACCGGTGGGGAAGGGGGGGGGTGGATGGAGGCACGGGAGCATGAGGAAGGCAAGAAGGTGGAGCCGTATGACGCAGTGTCGATATTTCGTTATGTTCGAGTCCCCCTGGGGCTTGCCCCGCTGCCGCGCTGGTCGCCGCGGCCCCTTCCTCCCTCCTGCTCCTGATGCTGCTACCGTTCCTTCCTTCGCCTCCTTCCTCCGCGTGCTCCTTTTCCTCCCTGTCCCCCTCTCCCTTTTCCCGATTCCCGTCTAGCCGAGCAGATGCAGCAGACGTCGGAACAGCACACCTGGTTTGGTCAAGCTTGCACTGGTTCACCCAAAGACGCCTTTTTCGTGTTACAACTGCTGCAGCGACATACGTATATGTCGGCGAAGCATGCGAATTTGTTGTTGACCACCCTCCGTGGGCAGGTAGGCGTTGCTGTTTTTGATGATGATCACGGTTGTGGATGATGGCCACGGCTGGCTTTCTGGTCGGTCTTCATCCGTCACCTCCTCGCCCCCACAGTTGTTGATGATGGCCACGGCGGCTTGTTTTCCCTGGTCGGTCTTCATCCTTCACCTCTTCGCTCCCTCCCCCCATCGGTACACAGCTCTTTTTCCGGATTGCGCATCGCACGATGTGGTCATTTGAGTGATCCAGGTCCACTGAGACAGCCGTCAGCGGATAGAGTTTTATCAGCGGAATGAGTAGGGATGGACGGGAAGGGTAGGATACCAGATATGGTGCGAATGCACACAGGTTGCCTCGTTTCATGGGTGGAAGGCGGGGTCCTTTTCAAATTTGGCTCTCGCTGTAGCGCCGCGCACATTCGTTTTTAAAGTTTACAACAGTTCCAAGGATGAGTTGTGGGTGGTTTTCATGGCTTCTCCTGAGCGCCTCGCAGCTTCGTTTTAGAAGTTTGCAGCAGTTTCAAGGATGGAGGGCGGTTCCTTTTCAAAATGCGGCTCTCGCCTCAACGCCGCGCGCATTTGTCTTACACATTTGCAGCAATTTGCAGGATTCGTAGGGTTTAAGTCCCAGGGATGGTCTTCTGGCACGGACTAGGACTGTCAGGACGCAACAGTCACGTTGACTCTCGGTGTTGAAGTCCCAGAAACGACGATCTGGCACGGTGTCAGATCACCAGGGCGCAGCAGTCGCGTTGATTCGCGGCGGTGACGTGCCAGGAATGGTGTTGTCGCACGGTGGAGGATTCTTCGGGGATGGTCTTTCAATGGGACATTTCTCTCACTGAAGTCGGTAATTGTAGGGACCTATGCTGGAGGGAGGGTTTGTGCAACATCGTTGATGCGTCTTGGGTTTACACTGGTCATCCTCGTCGCCGTCTCCCTCCTTCTTCTTTTGTTTTTCTCTTTCCGCATCCCTGGCAGAGGCGTCGCCTGGGCCGTCCGCCGAGACGCCCGCGGACGGTGGATCCGCTGAGGTCGCCCAGGACGTCGTTGGCGCGCGGCTTAAGTGGACGCCTGGAGAGGGGGAGGACGGGCGGAGAACAGGAGGGTGTGGTATGGGAGGAGCTGGTTTGGATGAGGCGGAGGAGCACATGAAGAGGGAGAGGGAGGAAGAGAGAATGACGAACAGGGAGAGGAACCGCATGACGATGATGAGGTTGAGGATGATAATGATGGACGGTGTTGGCTATGATGGTGCTGATTATCACGATAACGGTGACGGCGACGAGGATGAAAACGGTGATCATGATGACGACGCTAATGATGTTTGTGGCGATTAGGATGATGAGGATGACGATGATACTGGTGATGAGTATGATGACGATGATGAGGGTGGCGATGGCGATGGCGATGGTGATGAACATGCTCATGATGCTGATGCTGAGTTTGGTGGTGGTGATGATGGTGATGATGATGGTGTTGATGCTACTGATGGCGATGACGACGATGCCGATGACGATGCTACTGTTGCCGATGATGCTGCTACTACTGCTGCTGCTTCTGATGATGACGATGATGATCAACTTGAGGACGACGACGTTGACGATGGTGTGCTGATGCTGCTGCACATGCTGATGCTGATGCTGACAATGATGCTGCTGCTGCGAATGACGACGACGATGATGATTCGGCTGCTGCTGACGATGCTGCTGCTGCTGACGATGATGCTGATGGTGATCATGGTGCTGCTGCTGATGATGATGATTATCAGGATGCTGCTGCTGATGATGCTGATGCTGACGATGATTACGATGCTGATGATGCTGCTGCTGCTGCTGCTGATGATGATGATGATGATGATGCTGATGCTGCCGATGCTGATTATGCTGCTGATGAGGATGCTGCTGTTGCTAATCTTGATGAGGATGCTGATGACGATGTTGAGGTTGTTGATGCTGGTGATGAAGATGATGATGCCGATGATGCTGCTGATAATGATGATGATGATGATGAAAATGCTGCGGCTGATGCAGCTGCTGATGATGCTGATGTTGATGATGCCGATGTTCCTGCTGCTGCTGCTGCTACTGTCGATAGCGATGATGAGGATGCTGATGATGATGCTGATGATGATAGTGATGATGCTGATGATGCTGATGCTGATGCTGATGCTGATGATGCTGATGCTGTTGCTGACGCTGATGCTGATGTTGATGCGGCTGCTGCTGATGCTGATGCTCCTGCTGATGCTGATGAGGCTGATGCTCACGCTGATGCTGCTGCTGCTGATGATGATGAAGATGACAACGATGATGCTGGTTATGGTGATGCTGATACCGATGAAGCTGATGATGTTGATGACCGATGATGATGCTGCTGATGCCGATGAAGATGATGAATAATATGCTGATGAGATGATACTGATACTGATGATGAAACTGATTATGCTGCTGCTGATGACTGTGATGCTGATGATGCTGCTGCTGCTGATGGTGTTGCTGCTAATGTTTATGATGCAGATGATTAAGATGATGAATATGATGATGCTGTTGTTGATGATGACGATGACGATGACGATGATGGCGATGATCATGCTGATGATGTTGATGATGATGAGGATGCTGATGGTGATGGGGCTGATGATGATGCTGCTGATGGAGCTGCTGATGATGCTTCTGCTGCTGATGCTGACGATGATGCTGCTGATGATCATGATGAGGAGTAGGATGATGATGACGATGATGATGATGATGATGATGATGATGACGATGATGATGATGAGGATGATGATGATGATGATGATGATGATGATGATGCTGATGCTGATGATGATGATGATGACGATGTTGATGACGATGACGATGATGATGCTGCTGCTGATGATGATGATGATGATGATGATGCTGATGCTGAAGCTGATGATGATGCTGCTGCTGCTGATGATGATGATGTTGATGATGATGATGATGATGAGGATGAGGATGGGGATACGGATTATGATGACTATGCTGATTATTATTACTATTTTTTCATTGTTTTTGTTATTGTTATTGTTAATCGTATTATTGTTTATATTATTAGTATTCTTCTTCCGCTTGTTATTATCATTGTTATCATTATTTTTAGTAGTATCATTCTGAACGTGATGATGATTACTAGTCCTATTATTTTTCATTTTTCTTGTTACTATCACTATTGTTATTCTTAGTATTATTATTATCAATCTTCTTCTTCTTCTTATTATTATTATTATTATTTTTATTTTTATTATTATTATTATTATTGTTATTATTATGATTACTATTATTGTAGTGGCCTTCGGTCAGTGCCGCCGATCCGGGGCGCTCCGACTGATGTGATCCTTCTTCGCCCTCGTCCCTCTTCTCTTTTTCCCTCCCCTCCTCTCACTCAGCATTTATCCAGTGGCCGTCGGCCTATCCCGCCACCGTGCGTGGGTGGTGGGTCAGAGGCCTCATGGATGCTGGTTGGGATCTCGTGGTTGGCTGGGACTTCTGGGGGCCTCTTGGGCGCCTCTTGGGGCTTCTTGGGGGCCTCTTGGGCCTCTTGGGGCCACTAGAGGGCCTCTTGGGGGTCTCTTGGGAGCCTCTTGGGGCTTCTTGGGGGCCTCTTCTGCGCCCCTTGGGGCCTCTTGGAGGCCTCCTCGGAGCCTCTTGGTGCGGGAGGGGTGGTACTCGAGTTCGGAACCCCCTCGGAGGCCACGATCCTTGTGAGGGGTGTCAAAAAACGCATCCGCCGGAAACTCGCACCCCCCCCCCCCCACCCCCCCTTCCCCGGCAGAGCCACCCCGGCAACCCCCCCAGAGGCTGAGGCTCAGCCTCGAGGCTGCAGCTGAGACTCCTTGAAACTCACACGCTGGATCGGCGGATTTTTATTATTATGATGACGACCATGCTGATGGTGATGGAGATGGTGATGATGATGATGGTGATGATGACGATGCTTACTGCTGCTGCTGCTGCTGCCGCCGCTGCTGCTGCTGCTGCTGCTGCTGCTGCCGCGTGGAAACCGCCGCCGTAGAGGAACTGCCCCTGGGTGCGTATGAACCGCCTGCGTGGGAGCCGCCGCGCGTATGAGCCGCCTGCGTAGGAGCCGCCGCCGTGGGAGTCGCCTCCGTAGGACCAGCCTTGGGAGCCTCCGCGGGAGCCACCGCCGTGGGAGGCGCCTCCGTGGGAGCCGCCTGAGTTGGAGTTGGCAGCCGCCTCCGTGGGAGGCGCCGCAGTGAGGACCGCCTCCGTGGGAGCCGCCGCCGTGGGAGTCGCCGTGGGAGCCGCCGCCTTGGGATCCGTTTCCGTTGGCTCCGTCGCATTGGGAACCGCCGTGGGAGCTTCCGCCATGGGATCCGTCTCCGTGGGAACCGCCGCTGTGGGAGTCGTCTCCGTGTGGAAGCCGCCGTCGTGGGATCCGCAGCCGGTGGAGCTGCCGCCACGATAGCCGCGGTGGTGGCTAAGGGGACACGTCTCGAGGCTTCGCCGGTGTGAGCCGCCGTGGTAGGAGCTGTGGGAGTCGCCTCCGTGGGAACCACCTCCGTGGGAGCCGTTGTGGGAGCCGCCGCCGTGGGAGCCGCTTTCGTGGGAGCCGCTGCCATGGGAACCGCCCTAGTGGGAGCCGCCGCCGTGGGAATCGCCTCTGTGGGAGCCGCAGCCGTGGGAGCCGCCTCCGTGGGAGCCGTCTCCTTGGTAGCCGCCTCCGTGGGAGCCGCCGTTTTGGGAGCTGCCGTGGGAACCGCCGCCGTGGGAGGCGCCTCCGTTGCTGTTGGAGCCGCCGCCGTGGGAACCGTTTCCGTGGGAGTTGCCGCGTGAAGTGAGCCGCCCAGTGCCCGCAAACGGGAACCGCCAGGCGTGGAACCGAAGTTGAACACCACATACAAGCCGAAAGGGAAGAGGACGTAGTGGCACCATATGGATAGGCCGACCCCGTAGACTGCCTGGCGCCGATGCCGCCAGCGTACGAGGGACACCATGAGCCCCAGGGGAATGCAGGTGGACGTGAACATGAGCGTGAACAGCTGCAACGTTTACGTGGGCACACGCGGGGAGCCGACCACGGTGGTGCACCACCAGCATGGACCTCGCAGTGCACTGCGGCGAGTGTTGCTGCACCCCGCCGCGTGCCGCAGCACTTGCGAATGAGACAGGAGCGACCTGTCCCAGGCACTGTATTCAGGCCCAGAGAAGCCGAATCTATGATGATGATGACGACGATGACGACGATGATGATGCTGCTGCTGATGATGATGGTGATGAGGATGATGGTACTAATGATGATAACGATCCTGCTGTTGATGATGATGTTGTTGTTGGTGGTGGTTGTGGCGACTTTGAGGATGCTGACGGGGACGATGATGATGACGGCGATAGCGCGGCTGCTGATGATGACGATGGCGTTGGCGATGGTGCTGCTGCTGATGATGAGGCGGATGGTGATGATGCCATTGATAGTATTGAATGTGCTAATGATGGTGGTGGGCCTGGTGAGCGATGGTGATTGCGTGGCCAATTCATGATTGCGATAACGATGATGGTGATGACAATGTTGGCGGTGATGACGATGATGATGATGAGGGTGATGAGGCATCCGGTAGTGTTGATGACTGTGGTGGTGAACGTCATGGGGATGATGAGGATGCTAATGACGACGCTGATGACAATGATGATGATCATTCTGTTACTGATGATGGTGACGGTGTTGTTAGTGGTGGTCATGATGATGATGCTGCTGCTGATGATGATGGACACGGTGATGATGACAAGGTCCACGGGCATGTGCCCCGAGCCCACATACTGCTGTTTGGGCCGCGGGAAGAGGATGTGACAACACAGGACATGGACAGATATGATGAGGCAACGTTGGGATATGGATGGGGGATACACGGGGGGGTTGGGGGGTGGGCTGGGGCAGCGGAGGAGGAGGAGGAGGAGGAGGAGGAGGAGGAGGAGGAGGAGGAGGAGGAGGAGGAGGAGGAGGAGGAGGAGGAGGAGGAGGATCGTTGGAGGGGTAAGTGGCGGGGTAGGAGGGTGAGGATGGGGCGGTACGGAGAAAAATGGGGAGGGCAGGCTGGAGGAGGAATGAACAGGTATTTCCTCACCCCAGGAAGGTCCTCAACAAAAGACTCTCTTACTGCGGCCCCCTCCGCTCTGTGGCTCGGTGGCTGGTTCTGTACGGACCGGCAGCGATGTTCTCGTGGAGCAAGTCTCGCTCCTCGTCCCCCCCGTGCCCGTCGTGCTCTTCTTCGATCCTCCTGCTCGTCTTTCTCGTCCTCGCTCCTCCGCGCTCCTCCGGCCTCTATGCTCCTGCGCCTGCTTCTCCTTGTCCTCCTCGCCCTCCTTCGCCTGTTGTTGCTGCTTCTCCTCCTCGCTCTCCTCCGTCTCCTCCTCAGACCCCTTTTCGTCCTCCTGTTGCTCCTCCTCCTCCTCGCCCGACGTCCCCTCCTGTCTGTCCTCTCCCTCCTCTTTCAGATCTTCCTCCCTTTTGCTTCCTAATGCGCTCCTCCCCGCGCTTGCTTCCTTGCGTAAACGGCGAGAGATGCACGGATTCTCTCTTCCGATCGTACATGAGCATGGGCCGCTTGGAGAGAGGCTCGCTTCTCCTCCTCTTCCTCCTCCTTCCCGCTCTGGCCATTCCTGCTGTTCCTTCTCCTGTTCCCCCTCCCGGTCCTGCTGCTTCTTCTGCTGCATCCTGTTGCGCTAGGACCCGAGGCGGAATCCGATAGTCATATCAGCACTTCTGGATGGGGCTTATTGCACTTCCGCTCTGAGGAGCTGTATTCACCTCCGCCGTGGGCCGCATCTAGGTGAGAAGCTGCCTAGTGACACTAACCCTTCGCGCTTCTGGCGTGGGCGGCACCCAGGCCAGAACCTCCCAGCTACGCTTTCAGACAACAACACACCCCAACGCACCCCTCTTGCGTGCCTGCCCAAGCCTCCTGGCCGCTCTGCAGGTCGGGTACCCTGGAACCCCCTCCCGATCCTCGTGCGGGGCACACGGGTCGAGCGGACACGGGCCCCAGAACCGCCCAGACAGGCCCGCGGGCCAGGTGGCTCGCGCCCGTGAGCTCTCCCCTGGCCAGTCCAACAGCAGAATGGCTTTCGTCGCAGTTGGGGTCCTGACGCGCCGCCAGGTGCCGAGGCACCCTTCCAGCCCGGGCGGGGGCCGGACAGGAGTCCCCCAGGCTGCGATCGGGGCACCCACCGTCCCTCGATCGCAGGGCGTCTTTGTGGACTTCAGTTCCCCCGGGGTCATGCCGCGCCGCCAGATGCCGAGGCACCCTTCGGGGGCCTGCCGCATTCTCGTCCTTCCTTCCCCTCCTCCTCCTTCCCCTGCGTCCTGCCGCCGCTGCTGCTGCTCTTCCCGGATATCCTCGGGATCCCCTTCCTCGCCCTTCTTCTCCCCGGCCTCCTCTCCCTCTCCTTCCATGTTTTCCTCCTCCCCCTGCGTCCTTCCGCTGCTGCTGCTGCTGCTCTTCCTTGTCACCATCGGGATCCCTTTCCTTGCCCTTCTTCTCCTTGGCCTCCTCTCCCTCTTCTCTTCAATACTCTCCTTCCCCCTGCTTCCTCGTGCGCATCTCCACGAGCTGCTGAGGGCTTCCCAGCTTCCTCCCGTAAACGGTTGAATGTTCACGTGTTTTCTTTTTCCGTTGGTAATTGACAGAGTGTATCATGTTTGATCCAGTCGCATGCCTCGACCAAGCGTGTCAGTGCTCTGGTGTTCCGCGCCTGCTTTGCAGTTCAACTGCGAGGCAGACTAATCAAACGGCCTGCCGTGTCGCGCGTGCTGTGCCCCCTCGTACGTGAGCTCGCCATGTTCGTTCTGTCTCGCGCTCACAATCTGGATACCCTAACTCTCGCCAGCCCAGTCCTCTCCCTCTCCGCCTCTCTCCTGCCACTCGGGAGGCGCGGGAGGACGGGGGCGGGCGATAGACTCGGCAGATGGGGACTTCGGGGACCGCTCGCTTCACCCACTCGGCGCGCTCGTTGGCGTGGGTCCTTCCCTGCAGTTGTTCGCTCTGCCGCGTCCCGAGGTGAGGAGGCCACGGGCGGGGCAGCCGCCGAGAACGCCGCGCCCGCTGCGGGCCTCGGCGAGGGCCCGCCGGCGTCCGAGGCCAGGGCCGCGCTGCTGCCGGAAGCCGCGGCGCCGACGGAGCTGGCGGCGCCTCCAGGGGCTCTCGCCGGTGGTGCGAGCCAGGCGCCGGTGACGGCCCCAGGGGGAGCAGAGGCCACAGCCGCTGCGTCGCCTGAGGCCGCGCCCGAGCCCGCCGCGAGCGCCGGCCCGGCGCCGGTGCGGGAGGGCGCGGCGCAGGCGGAGTGCGCCGCGCCAGCCGTGTCGGCGGCGCCTGCGGCGGAGGCCGTGGCCACCGCGTCTCTGGAGGCCGCGCCCGGGGCCCCAGCACCAGTGGAGCGGCCGGCGCCTCTCGAGGCCCCCGCCGCGGGCGCCAGCGCTGCCGCAGCGGCTGAAACCGTGGGGCCAGAGGCCGCGGCCGCTGGAAGGGGAAGGGTGGGGGGGAACGGGAGGGTGAAGGGTGGGGGGGGTGAGAGCGGAAAGAGGAAGGGGGTGAGGAGGGGGTGAGGAGGGTAGCGAAGAGCATGATGAGGGGGAGGCGGAAGAGACGCAGGAGGAGGAGGGGGAGGGTGATAATGCTTGTGGTGGTTGCTGATGATGCCAATGCTGCTGCTGCAACTGATGATGATGATGATGATGATGATGATGATGATGATGATGATGATGATGACGATGATGACGATGATGATTATGAGGATGATGATGATCATGCTGCAACTGATG